ACTTCAAATGATGTTACATGACTCATAATCACTCTCATATTGGTTTATATGAGATTCAAAATTTGGTTTATGAACCTTAATCACATATCGGTCACGAACTCAACGCACTAATGAAAAACCACTACTACTACACTCCATCTCATACAATCATCATACATGACTACTCCAAATTCTACCTATATGTTTTAACTTTCACTATTTTTCATCCAAATCACACATTAACGATCCACGTGTCATGGTAGACATGAAAGATTAGAGAAATCGCGATTCTGAAAATAGTACCAGTTTTGGACAAAATAGTACCGCATCTTATTCTACGTGGTACCTGCTTTTGATAGATTAGTACCTACTTTTGTGAAGAAAAATTGATTGTTTCAATTGTGCTCAACATTTACTAAACGTAGTACCAGTCATAGTGTGAGGCAGTACCACATTATGGAGAGTTAGTACCAGATATCCTGTCACTAGTACCACTTGTAATGAACAAACAAGAAGACCGAATTTCGATCGTAAATGATGTTTATACGACTCATGATCACTCTGGCATTGGTTTATATAAGATTTTAAATGTTTTTGATTGATCTTATTTGGAAAATGGCGCCGTTGCCGAGGAAGGCAAGTAGGACCAAAATTTAAAATGTTTATATGAACCATAAAAACATTTTACGATCGAGACCAAAATTTTGTTTAGTTCAAAAATGCATTTCGAAAAACAAAATAATAATACAAAAGCACTTAAAAAAATAATATTTTTCATCATAATTTTTTATTCCATATTTGCTATAATTTTAGTCCGGGTAAGTTTTAAATCCTAGCTCCCTGGGTCGGACTGCGTGAAAGGTAGCTTGGATGAGAATGGCGGCATAGAAAATGGTCGGCAATTCATAGCAAGATGGCCAGTCCAACGGGAGAGGAATGATCGACGATGGAGGAAACTGAGGCGGAGGCGGTGGTTATGGCAGAGGTCGACGGTCAGCGGATGGTCGGCGACGACAGAGTCGGAGGCGAAGACGGTGGTTGTGGCGTTCATCACAAGATGGTCATTTCGGCGGGAGAGGAATGGTCGGCGATAGTGGAAACGGAGAAGGCAATGGCTGCGGCAGAGGCCGACAGTCAGCGGACGGTTGGCGACGATGGAGTCAGAGTCGGTGGTTGTGGCTGAGGTCAGAGGCCGGTGGCCGAAGGCTATCTTGGTGATATGTATTAGATGTGTATGCGTGTATGTATATGTGTGTGTTAT